TGTGAGTTTGTTGGCCTAAAGTCAAATCACCAAGGCAAGCGCAAAGTCCAAAAATATTAACATAAGTAATACTATCTCACTCCAAAGACTCATATTCTACCGTCAAACCTCAAATGTTTCCCCCATATATCCATGATCTAACAACACACTTAAAAACATAATTATATGTACATAAATTTGATTTAGGTGCCAAATACAAAACTAGCATAGCACCTTTCACGTTCGAGCACATTGAATACATTGATAAAAGTGCTTTCGTAACATACTGATGGAAAATCAATCCAGGCTTCATTGCATTACCATGACACTGTTGTCCTTCACTAACAACACACAATGAGCATAGCACGAAACAACCGTAGCCAATATGTACTTATTCGAACACAACTTGTCCACTTTTACCCATAATGCAAATACCCAGCCATCAATCCATATGTGTATTTTATCAAACAGTTGGCGACGTATCGAAATTTCACCACTCTGAGTATAGATTGATCAAATAATTTCTCTCCATTACCTAATCACGTGAATCTTTAATGCATGTGGGTTTCAAATTCTCTCTCGCTTGTACGAATGCACAGAGGACACACGAGAAGGAAGGAAATTAGCCCTTAAATCTTATTTTTTCCATTTAAAAAAAAAAACAATTTGAGGCCCTCATTTAAATTGGGCTTGAGGCACAAGCCTCATTTGCCTCTGCCCCAAATCGGGACTACCAAAATAAGGTACACTCATAATAGAGTGGTCAAACAAGTTTTAACCCTTATATTTAATTTTCTATTTTACATATTAAATAAAATTAATTGCAAATATATTAAGCTCATGTTTGATAAAAATTAAAATTTTCGAACCTCCATAACATATCGTTTGCACTTTCTATCCCTTTTACTTTCGCTTTTATATTTTTGCTTATTATTTGAATTAATCTATTTAGTCTTTACTTGGTTGAATTTAGATTAATTCTTTAAAAAAGTTTCAAAAACCAATTCACCCCCCTCTTGATTAGCCTATCTTGGGTTTACACATGGGAGATGCTCTAAGATACGAGACAAAAATGTTTGAGCGCTAACAATATGAACAAAGGTGATTGCATATTTAACTTACAATCACAAACAATTAAACCAAAGTGAAAATAATCTAAATTCAAGCAAATAAATATGAAATAAGTGAGAGAGAAGATCGGGTGTGGTTTGAAGTGTGAAGAGTTGCATTAGATTCAAATGTTACAAATTTTGCTTATTTATATAGTTCCGACCGAAGTGGTAACCGTTGAATAAGAACCACGTGATTTATATTAGGTCGACAATCCTAACATTCATTATTACAAACGTTACATCAATCATTCATAAAAATTGTTTGCAAATCCTCTAAAAGACAACAATGTTTATAGCCAAAGGGAGCTTCAGATTGGAGCGAGGACTTCAGCCAAAGGGAGTTTCATATTGGAAGTCTTCGACATCAGAGCTTCGGGACAGAGAGTTTCGGTTTCTTCTTTAACTTCTTATATAGTGTTTCGACTTCAAAGTTTCGACCACTTAGATAGTGCTTCAGCCACTTACCTACGCTTCGACTTTAGGGCTTTAGCCACTTACATAGTGCTACGAATGAAGCGGTGGATCACCTTTCTAGTGTTGTTTTGCAGCAGGTGGCGTCTTGCTTCGGCCATGGAACTTCTGCTTACACATGGCGCTTTAGGTGAGATGTCTATTAGTCATTTTAACCAATGACTTCGATTCGATTTTTTATAATGCAAGGTGTGGGACTTTTTTTTGGGCACCTTCTACAATAGATCTTCTACGTAATCGCTATATGGTGTAATGATTTAAATTTAAAACTATACCACATCATAAAAGTGTTAAAAAAAATCATGCATTTTAACTTTTTAATCTAGAAACAATGCCTATCAACTTTTTAAGTCTTAGTATTCTCATTTCAAGGGAGCCACATAGCGATTACGTAGAAGATCAGTTATCGTATGACTATCAACTAAGTCGATTTTTAGAATAACATGTTATGGTACATAATAAAGTAGTGAAGTTTGACACTAATTTGAAATTCAGTGGCATAATTGAAATTTGAAATTCAACAACCGGGGAAGTTTAAAAACCATCATGAATCAGATAAAATTAAAGTAAAGGAGTGTGTGAATAAAATTGAAAAAGCAAGTTTAGAGAAAAAAAAAACCCCCGAAGCGATTATGATGGAGAACACATATTTCGCATTGAATAATAATAATAATAAAAAAAAAAAAGTCCCAAAACTCATCCCTTTAGACACTCAACTTTCGAATATACCCTACTTTAGTCACTATTCTTTTTGTTGCAGATTTAGCACTCAACTCTCATTCACTTACCCCGTAATTCACTCTACTCAATTTCAACATGGCAAACTTCTTAAATAAACTCAATCATTAACTATCGAAAATCAAGCAGCAGAGTAGCTTACTTCACTAGATTGGATTATTTCAAAGAATTTTTAGAAACATATGTTGTGTTCGGTTTTTAAAAACTGCAATAAAATAATAACGGTATATCTCTACGGATGATGGTAGTTAACTTGTGAGTTTATCCCATGTAAAAATTTCATCATTGACACTTAACGAGTTAAGTAAATGGAAATCGGGTGCATTTAATCTACTAAAGCAAAAAAGATTAGGACCAAAATACAGTGTTAGTCCTGTGATTTTGGGGGCCTAAGTCGAACTTCATAAATTAGGTCCCTCAAAATTATAGTATGCACACAAAATTTATACGTGTATTATGGAACCAATTATTAACTTGTTAACTTAAAACTTTTCATTGTCACGACTCACAATCCTGAACAAAAATGCATATGTCAATCACATAAATACTATGTACACATATTTACAAAAGATATGCATAGCACGTGATGATTAAAATTAAAGGGCACGAGAAAATTGAATAAATAAAATGAACATGGACATAAAGAAACATTAACATACATTCTTCAAAGCACTTGTTCTGTAAATAAGCAGCCAATAAATACTATCCATGTGACCACAATTTTAGATTGCAAGCCTCTAAAAAAATTTCGCGCATGGATGAAATTTCACCACATTTTCCATACATGTCTATGATCACGCTACCAACAAACAGATCAAGCTCAACACCAATTTTAAGCATTGAACTGTGAGTTTGTTGGCCTAAAGTTAAATCACCAAGGCAAGCGCAAAGTCCAAAACTATTAACATTAGTAATACTATCTCACTCAAAAGACTCATGTTCTACCGTCAAACCTCAAATGTTTCCCCCATATATCCATGATCTAACAACACACTTAAAAACATAATTATATGTACATAAATTTGATTTAGGTGCCAAATACAAAACCAGCATAGCACCTTTCACATTCGAACACATTGAATACATTGATAAAAGTGCATTCGTAACATACTGATGGAAAATCAATCCAGGCTTCATTGCATTACCATGACACTGTTGTCCCTCACTAGCAACACACAATGAGAATAGCACAAAACAACCGTAGCCAATATGTACTTATTCGAACACAACTTGTCCACTTTTACCCATGTTGCAAATACCCAGCCATCAATCCATTTGTGCATTATATCAAACAGTTGGCGAGCAATCAAAATTTCACCACTCTGAGTACAGATTGATCAAATAATTTCTCTCGATTACCTAATCACGTGAATCTTTAATGCATGTGGGTTTCAAATTCTCTCTCGCTTGTACGAACACACAGAGGACAGACGAGAAGGAAGGAATTTAGCCCTTAAATCTTATTTTTTCCATTTAAAGGAAAAAACAGTTTGAGGCCCCCATTTAAATTGGGCTTGAGGCACAAGCCTCATTTGCCTCTGCCCAAAATCGGGACGACCAAAATAAGGTACACTCATAATAGAGTGGTCAAACAAGTTTTAACCCTTATATTTAATTTTCTATTTTACATATTAAATAAAATTAATTGCAAATATATTAAGCTCATGTTTGATAAAAATTAAAATTAATTTTTTTTATCAAAATCAACAATTAATTTTAATCACATATTTTATTAGAGTCAACACTTTTTCAACCACATATTTCATAAACTTTTATCAAAATCTGCTAAAAAAATTTAATTTTAATTTTCACCAAACAAGGGTTAAATTTAACTGGGAAAATGGCACCAAGCTACCAAATCTTTTTATGTTATTAAGCTAAGGGCATAATTATCATTTTATTCAAAATTTGACTACTTAACAATTAAACTAACGATTTTCGTTAAGAAAGGACGATTGACGCTAACTGTTTATATTATAGTTTCGAAAATGGCACAAATTAAATGTTTGAAACTCGTCATCACAAGTTTGAATTATTCAGAACCTTGCTATCATCCAACTTTGCCCTTGTTTGGTAGGGGATTAAAATAAAAAAATTTATTTAAGTCAAAATTAATAATAAACTTTAACAATATATTTTATCATTTTTTATCAAAATTTATTAAAAATTTAATTTTAATTTCGATGACTTTAATATATTTTTATAGAATTATCATTCCATACGAGTCCAATAATACCTGCCAACACGGGAAGCGTCCAGAATTAACCGTCATTTTCGATCAATGACACGGCACTACCAATGTAATGTAATAATGATTAACAAGATAAAAAACAAGAATATCAACACGAAATTATTACAAATACCAAATCAAATCTCGTCAAATTTTTCATTACCTATTCGATAATATATAATCCATCTCTCTCTACATAATCCAATCCAGTGAACAGCTGCACGGACAAAATATATATACATACACTGTTTTTATTTGTGTCACCTATAACTCTTGAATCACCTTATTTCTTGAATTTTTTCAATATTTTAACACAGTTTCGCAAAGTTATGATCTGAGTTTTCTTTTGAATAACCCGATTTCTTTATTTTTATCAAGAAAAATTCAATCTTGTTGAACAGTTTTGCACATTTATAATCTGGGTTTTTCGTTTTTCCACTTTGATTCAGATTTCTTGATATAGCCACGCCATGAAGGTTCATCCGGTGCCGATCACTCTGCAATACGATATAGCATCGGCTCTCTCTCAGGTGAACGTCTGCGGGCAAAGAAAGCTCCGGCGACTACCCCACATCTTCGCCAAGGTGTTGGAGCTGCCTTTCCACTCAGACGCCGACGTTTTGATCGACGAAACCCCCGATTCCCTTAGATTCATCGTCGCCGCCGGTGGAATCACAGGTGATGTTGGGGCACATGCTATTGAGATTTACCCTGGGGTTACCAAGATTGTTATCCGGGTAAACGACGTTGTTGACTTGTCTGGAAATGAATTGGAGATGGATATGTGGCGGTTTCGGCTCCCGGATTCGACATGGCCGGAATTGGCAACTGCCGTTTACCACCAAGGGGAGTTGGTTGTAACAGTGCCAAAAGGCGGTGCTGAAGAAGATGGAGGCGCTGAAGGTGGTGATGGTGGGGATCTTGGAGGTGGGAGGTTTGTTCTTGTACAGTAATATTGAAACTATTTTTATCCTCTTTTACTCTATGATAATTTGCTTAAGCCTGTTACACTGATTTGATTTTGGTGGATTATAATGCTTTTAGTAACATTTCTTCAATTGGGTTCTGTAAAATAAGATCATAAAAATTTGAAAAATGATTAGAATTAGGGCACTACAATCACGTGTGTTTCTTGAACTGTTGCGATTATGTTTTTGCATTGCAGAAGAGCTATGGACTATGAAGCCGATAGTTTCTTTGCAGTAGGCTTAAGTATATCACTAGCTGGTAACCTTGTGCAAACGCATGTCCGAATGAAATTTGTGTTGTTGATGCAAAATTGATTGGTATAGCAGGATAATCACCCATCTCTTCTTTGAGGTTACTCTCATAGAAAATATTCAGGGTATGTTTTGATTTAGAACCGGATAGCATTGTATGGTACAGCGGTTAGAATTTTACTTATTTTTCTTGCTTATGCTGTCTAGTTGAGTATGTAAACATGCCATTAGTGCAGCAAGGGTGACATAGAAAAGGAAGAAGAGGGAGAGAAGAAAGAGAAGAAGAGCAAATGTACATGTGGAAACTATAATAAACTAATATAATTAACTATCTTTTATTCTCCATCTATGAGAAACACAAGATCATCTATTCTTATTAGGGATTTCCAGAGAAGGTATACTCTAGAGCTGGAAAGAAGTTATCACCATGTTATATCTAAGATTATCTATATAATGGTTCTTTACTTCTATGGTGGTCCTTTTGCTCTGTGTTTAGCCATATTTTCTTCTAATAATGAATCTAATGAATTCACAAGCAAACGATGTATTGGCTTTGTGTAGTGTTTTCCCCCATTTAATTGTGGATTGTTGAATCACGCTCTTGCACATACACACGGCTCCTATGCTCCTACGTCATGTCCAACAGTGCTGCATTACAGTAACTCCTGAAGAAGGTTGTTTGATAATTGAATCTGTTCTTGCGGATCAGCTCGTGTTTGATAGTTGGCATTAATTTGTTGTCTTTAGCTGGCGATATGCACATTGGATTTATTTTTTTTCTTTATTATTATTTTTTTCTGGGAACTTACTTTTAAAGACATTGAAGTTGTACTTTTACCAAAATGGTAAGAATGTAGAAACTAGAGGAAAACTTAAAGAGTACTTTCCGGAGGAAAATAGTTTTCTACGTCAGTAACCATCTCTTAGGAAGAATAAGAGACATATTCCAGTAGAAAGCAGCGAGAATTATCTGTTATCGAAAACTCTTATGTAGCCCAGAAATTTTGCTATCATTTTGATGTCTTGTAGTTTTATAACATTGAAGTTTCTCCTGCTCAAGTCCACGCCTTTACTGGCTTTTTCGTAATTTGGGTTGTTTAAGAATTTATTCTTCTCTCTTGTAAACAGTTTATATTCTCACGTTTGTAGTCTTTTTCATACCTTCTAAGGCTACGATTGCATCTTCTTTATCAATATGGTGTTATGGATGTTCTTAACTTTAATTTATTCTGTAAAATAGCCAGTGTGCATCATTTTCCCCGCCCTAGCTGGTCTCAGAACTATAGTTTTAAATAATGTATTAATCTCTACTTGTGTTTATTAAGCCTCCGTTTGGAAAGAATAAGTGAATAATACTTGTTAGTATATTGGAATGTATGTCCATTGGAACGTGTGGTTGAAATAAAGTTGGATCATTAATAAACGATTTATAAATTTTGCCAAACGGAGCATTTCTTCCCAACTTAATGGGTGATCTGCGCCACTTGAAAAACCATTCGGATGATTCTTCTACATAGACTACATAGAAGAATAGTTTAGCCGAAAGCTGTGCCGTTGTCCATCATTTGAACTAATTCCATTAACATCGTTTGTCTGTTCATGCTCTTATGGTAGTGCAGATGGTAATACGCCTTCTGATTGTTGTGTCCTCTTGAAAAGTAGATTGGAAGCCTTATCAAAACCGAGTGCTTTGGCTAACTTACATCCGTCATTAATATCATAAGCCATGAATTTGTTTCCTTGAATTTATTTTTCTTGTTCGAATGCGTTATCGTGTTTCTCTGTCTGCTCTCTATTTGGAAGGACTTCAATGAATCTTGTTGATGGTCCGACGGTTTCGTTAACTTTAGGAGGAGTGAAAGGTGTGGGGTCTTGAATTTGTTCCTTTTTTGCCTCTATGAGCATCTCACTTTTGTATTGATAATCACCTTTTTTCGCTGCCTGTTCATCTTTGCTCTGACTCTAGTTAAAGTTGCAATACTCGCACACTTTTCTTTGCAATTGGGATAAGCATAGATTCCTTTGAAAAGGAAACTTATGGTCAAGATAAAAGGTGATTTGCTACATGATTGGCTTCTATGTCAACCTACCTTAGCCTCTGCATTATTTATCCCATATCAAAAAATAAAACGAAATTGAAATTTTTTGTAGTATCAACACTTCGAAGATTGTGGCCCTGTTTGAGAGCCATTAATTTCTCGTAATGTATTATAGAATAGTAGATTGATGGAGAATGTGTGATTAAAAAATAAGGAAACTTATGGTCAGGATAAAAGGTGCTTTGCTACACGATTGGCTTCTATGTCAGCTTACCTTAGCCTCTGCATTATTTATCCCATATCAAAAAATAAAACGAAAATTGAAATTTTTTGTAGTATCGATACTTTGAAGATTGTGGCCTTGTTTGAGAGCCATTAATTTCTTGTAATGTATTATAGAATAGTAGATTGATGAGAATGTGTGGTTAAAAAGTAAGGAAACTTATGGTCAAGATAAAAGGTGCTTTGCTACTCGATTGGCTTCTATGTCAGTCTACCTTAGCCTCTGCATTATTTATCCCATATCAAAAAATAAAACGAAAATTGAAATTTTTTGTAGTATCGATACTTTGAAGATTGTGGCCCTGTTTGAGAGTCATTAATTTCTTGTAATGTATTATAGAATAGTAGATTGATTGAGAATGTGCTGTTAAAAAGTAAAGAAACTTATGATCAAAGATAAAAGGTGCTTTGCTACTCGATTGGCTTCTATGTCAGCTTACCTTAGCCTTTGCATTATTTATCCCATATCAAAAAATAAAACGAAATTGAAATTTTTTGTAGTATCGATACTTTGAAGATTGTGGCCCTGTTTGAGAGCCATTAATTTCTTGTAATGTATTATAAAAAGTAGATTGGTGGAGAATGTGTGGTTAAAAAGTAAGAAAATTTATGGTCAAGATAAAAGTTGCTTTGCTACTCGATTGGCTTCTATGTCAACTTACCTTAGCCCCTGCATTATTTATCCCATATCAAAAAATAAAACGAAAATTGAAATTTTTTGTAGTATCGATACTTTGATGATTGTGGCCCTGTTTGAGAGCCATTAATTTCTTGTATTGTATTATAGAATAGTAAATTGATGGAGAATGTGTGGTTAAAAAATAAGGAAACTTATGGTCAAGATAAAAGGTGCTTTGCTACTCGATTGGCTTCTATGTCAGCCTACCTTAGCCTCTGCATTATTTATCCCATATCAAAAAATAAAACGAAATTGAAATTTTTTGTAGTATCGATACTTTGAAGATTGTGGTCCTGTTTGAGAGTCATTAATTTCTTGTAATGTATTATAGAATGGTAGATTGATGGAGAATGTGGTGTTAAAAAGTAAGGAAACTTGTGGTCAAAGATAAATGGTGATTTGCTACTTGAATGGCTTCTATGTCAGCCTACCTTAGCCTTTGCATTATATATCACATATCAAAAAATAAAACGAAATTGAAATTTTTTGTAGTATCGATACTTTGAAGATTGTGGCCCTGTTTGAGAGCTATTAATTTCTTGTAATGTATTATAGAATAGTAGATTGATAGAAATGTGTGGTTAAAAAGTAAGAAAACTTATGATCAAGATAAATGGTGATTTGCTACTTGAATGGCTTCTATGTCAACCTACCTTAGACTCTGCATTATATAACCCATATCAAAAAATAAAACGAAATTGAAATTTTTTGTAGTATCAATACTTTGAAGATTGTGGCCCTATTTGAGAGTCATTAATTTCTTGTAATGTATTATGGAATAGTAGTTGATGGAGAATGTGTGGTTAAAAAGTAAGGAAACTTATGGTCAAGATAAAAGGTGCTTTGCTACTCAATTGGCTTCTATGTCAACCTACCTTAGCCTCTGCATTATTTATCTTATATCAAAAAATAAAACGAAATTGACATTTTTTGTAATATCAATACTTTGAAGATTGTGGTCTTGTTTGAGAGCTATTTAATTTCTTGTAATGTATTATAGAATAGTAAATTGATGGAAAATGTGTGATTAAAAAGTAAGAAAAGTTTATTGGTTTGTGTATAGAATATTTTATTGTGTGAACCTGTGGTGAAGAATGGTGTACTCTTGCAAACAATTTAAAATTTAAGTGGATAACAAAGAGGAGCTGTATGTGGTAGTTAGAATGGGGGTGTAAAGTAGATGAGATTGACCCGGTTAAAATTTAAAGCATGGCCAGGTTACACCATAGGCTGAGAGAGGTCCATGAACTTGGTCCTAGGGTTAACCCAATTATTTTTTGGACTGTTTGAAACAAAGTAAATTTGGAAAAAGAGAAAATTTTAGGAACTATATTTTTAAGTTTCTATGATAAAAAAAAAGAAGGTATAAATCTATTCTATGTAGAGCTCATGTATTTTTTATTGAGAAATATTTTAAATAATTTTTAGCATTTATTTTTAATATATCAATATCTCGTTAGTTGTGCCAAATTATAATGGATTTTATCTTTTAAACTTTGATATTGAAAATTTTAATATCTTTAATTTTATTAATTTTTTTGGAGAGAGAAATTCGACGGTATATTTTTGAAGAAACTAAAGTGACATAAGTCAGATACGTGATTTTACGGAGGTCTTAATTTCGATTATTATTAATAAGATAACAATTTTTAATCGAAATAGTTTACTATGGTCACAATACATAAGTTGTTATGAAACAAACAGGATAACATAATCGCCTGTTGAGAATTAGACCCAATAATAAAGACAAGAAGAATATAAACAATATGAAAACAACGTATCACAAAGAATTGTTACGTGAGTCTATTAAGGGTCTACACCTCTTGGAGTATTTATAGAAGTCTAATTTTGAAGTTTTGAATGAAGTAGAATACAAGATCACGATAAAAATTCAATTCTTCTTGAACATATGATGTGGTGCCTAAGTGCCATGGAGTTGGTGCCGAGGTGCACAACCGCTATTCCTTATTTTCGCTGTCGGCGCTTAGACGCCTCATTTAAAACCCAATGCTTTTAAAATATTTTTTCATCCATTCCAAAGTCATTTTCGCAATCAAATTTTCAATCCATAATAAAATTTGATTACTTATCACTTCGGATTTTCAAACCAAAATTATCTAAACTCCTTCATGAATTAAACTTCTAAATCACATGAAATTTGAGTCACAACCAAACATAAGTCGTGTGATTTACGGAGATGAAACATTTTAAATATGCTATCGAGCCATAGTCATCACATCTCGTGTATACAAAGTTACACAAGTAAAGTTGCGCATAATTCTAGTTACACTGTAGTCAAAATATAATCATAGTCACATAACACACTTGTATGGGCACATTCTTTCATAATTTTAGGCAGGTCACATTGAAATTTTTTTGTACAAGTTATGTACGTTGATTACAATGTGTAAGATAAATGGTCACAGAAAGTCACAATCAAAAATGAAATGAATGACATATGTGCTTAAAATTCTACCACGAAGAACACATATACACAGTTGGAATGAAGAAATGTATTCAAATTCGATGGCAATATCCACGTATTATAAAAGATATTGACATAGAGAATAAAGTTCCAAACTGTACCTGCCATAAATATTAGTACAACAAGAATAATCAATGGACGTTGTGATTGGTGATTATTTAGCCCATGTTTGGTGGTCTTTTTTTTTTTTATATTGTTTTGATTAATAAATTTTTGGAGAATGTGTGGTTATTACATGTAGAATAGTTTATTGTATGAATGTATGGTTGAAAATGAGTATGTAGAAAAAAGAGTTAAAAAAAATGAGAGACAAACAGGGGATTAATTGAACGTTTCTATCTATAATCGGCGAGTGTGTATGGTACGAAGAATCCTAAGGTTTAATAGGGTAGGCGTATGTGAAGAGAAATAAATCTCAATTATCCTTTCATAAAAATCAGTTAGGATCGCGCAAGTGCGCGCGCACACACAAATGAATGATCTATGAGCAACTCATCTTATGTTAAGCACCTGACGTTTCATATAAGTTCATTGATGGATAAACATATGTAGGGTTCAATATTTGTATTAAGTTTAAAATCCACTAATAAATTTATATTATAAGTCACCGATGTTTAAAATAAGATGAACACATGTACTTAGAGGTGTCAAGACAGACGGGCCGGTCATGACCCGTGAAAATCGGCCGGTGAAAATCGGGACCGCTGGCCGACCCGTAACCCGTGCGGGCGGTTCATGGGTCAAAGAGTTGTGACCCGCGGGTTTAGGCTTCACGGGCCGCTGTTCACCCGCGGCCCGGGGAAAAAAAAACGAAAAATTTTGAAAAAAAAGGGGGAGAGAGCCGTTCAACGACTCTCTCTCCCAGCAGCCTGCTTGCATGCAGGCGTAGCCTGGCGCTACTACACCTGCATGCAATTTTTTAATTTTTTAATTTTTTTGTAAATTACAAAGTTGTAACGGTAATAATATATTCAACATCTATAAATTCAATTAATTGGTAGTATTAGTTCACTTCACTTTCGTCTTTCAACTACAAATATTATCATCATCTCTGATTCTCTATTATATTTCTTTCTTCTTATTACTAAACTGTTTAATACTACTATATTATGGATTCTCACGATTTTTCGTCTCAAAATCCTATTTTCAATGATAGTTGCTCCCCAATAAATTTAGAAGATGATAATGTTACAGAAGTTGGATCATCTCAATCATCAAGGAAAAAAAAAAAAACATCAGAGGTGTGGCAAATTTTTACAGTAAATGAAAAGGATGGAAAAGCAGTATGCAATATCTGCAAAAAAGATTATATCTGGAGATATGGTCAAGGCACCGGCACGCTACGGAGGCACAAAGAGAAACATCTAAATGAAACAGGACATTTGGATCCTAGACAAACTCAAATTACTGGTTTTACTAATGCTAGTGGATCAGTCACTTTTACTAATTTTGTTTATTCGCAGGAACGAATGCGAGTTGGGATGTCGGAATTTTTAGCAGCTCGTGAGATGCCCTTCACATTTGCAGAAGATCAGTATTTTGAAGAATTCCTGCAAAAGTACATTCAACCTTCTTACAGGAGTGTAAGTAGAAATACTGCTCGTTCTGATTCTATGAAATTATTTCATACAATGGCTGAGAATTTAAAAAATGAACTTAAAAAAATTGATGGAATTATGTGTTTCACGTCTGATTGTTGGTCTGGACGAAATCATAATGGTTATGCTTGTGTTACAGCACATTTCATTGATAATAATTGGTTATTGCATAAGAGAATTATTGCTTTTCGTTTACTTGAATATCCACATAATGGTGTAAATTTGTGTGAAAATTTATTACAAGTTTTTAATGAATTTGGTGTGTTAAATAAACTATTTAGTGTTACCTTTGATAATGCAAGTGCTAATAATGCATGTATTGAGCTTTTAATTAGGGCGATTAGACCCCTATATGATTCTAAATTATTTCACATGCGTTGTGTTTGTCATATATATAATTTAGTTGTGCAAGATGGTTTGAAATTAATAACACCACAAATAAGTATAATTAGAGAATCTATTAATTATATTTCTTGTTCAGATTCTAGACAACAAGAATTTGCAAAAATTTGTAAAAATCTTGGATTGAGAAGAAGAAAATTTGTTGATGATGTTCCTAATAGATGGAATTCAACATTTTTAATGTTAAAATCGTGTGTTGGCTATACTAATGCTATTAATGCATTTGTTAATTCAAAGCAAAGTCAATTTTATATAACTGATTCGGACTGGGAAAAAGCATTTCAAGTTATGAAATTTTTGAAACCTTTTTATAAGGCAACAAAAGTTAGTTCTGGAGTTTATTATCCAACTAGTAATCTTGTACTTTTACAATTAGTAGAAATTGCTGAACAGTTTTCATCATTTAGAGACGATCCATTTTTCTTTCAAATTATTTACTCAATGGAGGAAAAGTTTAAAAAATATTATGAAAACATGCCACTAATTTTTCCACTGGCAGCTGTAATGGATCCTCGCATTAAGTTGTTTGGTGTTCATTATGCTTTAGAATCACTTTCTGATACACTAGCTTTTAACATAAATATTACAAATCGACAATTAGATACTTTTATTAATGAAATGTATAACGACTATTTTATTAAATATGGTAACAATGAAAATATTTCTTCTTCTACAAACTCTAGTAATATTTAATAGTTAAGAATTCTTAGTTTACATTTAACAAAAAAAATATATTTTTTCCTATAAATATGAAAAATTCTATATTTTTATAATTTTATTTATACAATCATACGGGCCAAACCGAAATGAACCGCGAACCGCGCGACCCGTGACCCGCATGGGCTCGACCCTGATGGGTAAGCGGGCGGGCCTGGGTTGTAGTCCAAAATTGTGGGCCAACCCGTAATCGGCCCGAAACCTGCAGCGGGCAGGCTTTTTTTCACGCGGACCTTTATCGGGCTCACATGTTGGCGGGCCGACCCGGATTGACACCTCTACATGTACTCATATATATGACATGATTTTTGCAAAATAAAATAAAATTAAAGTTTTTGACATTTTTAAGTGGCTAAATATATCCACAACATTATTTTTAAGTAACTAGACTATATATTTGTATTGCATGAAATGTTTATAATTTTTTATATATTATCACATTTAAGTCTCAATTTTTTTTTCATCGCATTCTTATTCTCAAATTAACATAAATTATTTCTGATTATGGTTTCTCTCCAAAATTTCTTCAAGATAGAGTTAAAAGACTCATTTGTCCATTATCATTTTAAATAAACAAAATAAATGAAAATGCGATTAAATATTTGACCCTCAATTTAAAGTACATTAACAGCATTCATGAATGAACATAATTTATACAGATGATGAATGAATAATATTATATAAAAGTGAGCGAATAATTAGTAACCTTTTATTTTTGAGTGAGAAAGTCATAATCTAAGATATATGTTGATTATTAATCATTTAATTAACTCATTTACAATACTTATCATGCTTGTTTCATGAAATTCACTTTTATTTCTTTTCATAAATTATTTATAAATTTACTAAATCCCTCTTTAATTCAACTAAAAAATTGAATTAAAATTTAAGCCCGGCCCAGTCGATGAAGAAAGTTGACGGCATTTGATAAAAAGGACCAATAGTGCAATGAAACCTTCATATGGGGACATTATAGTCAAGATTAAAACAATAAGTCCTGATTTCACATAAGAGACAAACATTAGGGACCATTTAGGAAAATACGCCAATTTTACGAGGCACGGGATCGTGTAGCTCATATAACTGTGGCCGCAACCGTAACGACACAGGAAGCAAAAGAGATGATTTTTCTTCAAACTCTCTCTCCCTTCCCCATTCCGCTCATTCTCACTCGGCAAAACCCTACTCTTCATTCGATTTCACTAACCCAATTCTCCATTCGTCCAGAATTCTGCCCAAATATCCCTTCAAATTACGAGAACTTCAGCAGCAGAACAGGAACAGCTCTCGGAAGCAATCTTAGAGATAACGACCCAGTTCAAGAATCAGCGTTCTTCGATGAAAATGGTGCCGTGGAGGACATGGATGGCTATCTTAATTACCTCTCTCTGGAGTATGACTCGGTTTGGGACACCAAGCCTTCATGGTAATATGTTGCCCTTTTATCTCTTGGCCTATTCAGTTTCCAATTAGGATTTTTTTTTTTTTTGGCAGTTTATCACAAATGTTAAGGAGATAGTTGCTTTAGATCTCACAATAGTCTAACCGAGCATGTAGTCGACCAAATTTTATCTAGGCATGGTTTAGTGGTAGTTTTTTATGCAACTTAATTAGCCTTTTTTTCCTGTTGAAAAGGCTAACCCCAATTAGGGCCTGTTTGGCATGAATTTTGAAAAGCCACAATGAGCGGATGGAAAGTGTTTTTAAAAATTAGTTTTCAAATAAAAAGTAAGTAGCTTCCTCAAAAAGCCTTTGTACTGGAAGCAAACGTAAAAGTAAAAAAGTAAGGGTCCGTTTGATTGTAAGAATGGAATTTGGATGGAAAGAAAATGAATTCTAGGAAAAGGAATTGCTTAGAATTGTTTTCCTGGGAATTATCAATTAATTGTGTTTGATTAGTATAATTTTCCACATGGAAAGTATTGAGATTTTGGATTTTTTGGTATTCGTTTTGCTTTGTTTTACATGGAAATTGTTCAATAGAATTTGTTACGATTGGAGATAGAATTTGTTTCCATTGCTTTTTTAAAAAAAGGTGGAAAACCAATTTCCCACCAAAGTGGTGGGAAAACCAATTCAATGAAAACCAAGAAAAGGGGGTCACGTAGGGAGTTGGAGGGAAAGCCGTTTGCCAAGAAAATTAAGCATATCAAACAAGCAAAAAGTTGGAACTTGGAAATTTCCAAGTTCCATGGAAAATAGTGCATATCAAACATGCCTAAAAGTAAAAATCATGTCAAATGGGCCCTAAGTCTGGTGTTTATGATTGCGGACATGAAATCAACATAAGCTACTTTATGTAAGTTTAGATATCGAATAAGATCTCTGTTCATTGTAAATTATCACTCCAAACCATAACCTTGAGGTTTTATAATATTCCTTAAATCTGTTTTGCACCGAAACATGTATGATATTGATGAATTTCATGCTACTGGGAAATGGATATTGTGGTTGTGTAGTCATTAGGATAGCATGCTTGAGACGAATTGATATATGTTTTGATTGTTGGCAATTTCATGCTTTTTAAGAATCAAAAATCATCCTCAATTTTTTGTCAAGAAGTCATCTTCGAAGACAAAGGATGGGATATGTTTGAAAGGCGCAATTTTATATTTATTCGCGTGATTGCCCTCTTAAGCATTTTCTTCACAGTATAAAACCAACGCAACTCCCAGCTAAGACGTATATTTCAACATAACATCCCTAATCCCCTAATTACACATTGAGTATTACTTTGTCATTTTAAAGGAAATTGTTGTCTATAACAATGGTATGCATCACCACTGCCACAAGGGTGATGATGCAACCCCATTAATGATAGATAACATTACTCTTTCTAGAGTTACTTTCCTTGCCTATTTTGGGCTTCAAAATGGATAAAGTAATATGATTAGTTTTACTGATTACCCCTAAACTTTAGGCTCAGTTTTCACCATGACCACTAAACTTTAAAAAGTTTCTTAATTATATTATTGCGTTAATGACCTTTCTCATTTTAACAGATTTGCTTGGGGTTTTTCTCATGTGTCATAACTCCAAGTAAGCAAATTTGTTCAAAATTGGATGGAAGATCAACACAATTGTGCTACTAAAACACTTTTTATTGTTCTGAAACAATTTATAGTTCAGTATTCGAAGTGAAACTTAGTGTAAAATTGAGTAGTCATTAGTAAAATTGAAACCCAAAAATTTGGTATAAGCGAACATGCGCTTGAAAATGTGAAAATATTACCTAATAATTTTTTAAATGGACTAAAATTTAGCTAAATAGATTATTTCATCCTTGTTATATATGTAGTTGTGCAACAATTGTTAGGTAATTTGTGGCGAGAATGAAACTAAGAAACACAAGTTGGTAATGTTGGATTTGGTTAATACGACAAGGGCACAAAGTACCAGAGAGTTCAAATTCATTGAACTAGATGGAATGTGCAGGGTGAAACTAAGTGGTTCTCAAGAATAGAATTTTGAAGTAAGGAAAATAGAATACTACGCGAACCTTAGAATGCTTCGTACCTGTTATGAAAAAATCGCAGACACTGGCATAATTGAAATAAGTTTGCTAACTTTATAAAAAAGATGTAGCAAAGTTTTAATTAGAAGTACACTCGATAAGGGAACATGGTGGTGCAACACAAAGGTTCAGTTAAGGCTAAAAGAAAATGTTGTTGATATGTTCATATATATGTAAATGCAAAGGATTTTGATATATACGAGGTAGCCAAATGGGAAGACAAGAAAGTGATAGAGAGTCTAAGACAAAATCCTAATTAATATGAGACGTTATATGCCATGGTATCGAGGATGAGGAAAAAGTTGTTTCCAAGATATCTCACAAAGGAGTGTGGAATGTAGAGATTTGAATCAAACATAGTAAAGATGAAAAGTAAAGAGTTTAGTTTTGAGAACTCTCAAGAAATTATGGAAGGTTAGAAGAATTACTTCGACAAATATTAATAGAAGGCACAGTGGATCTAGTGTTTAAAAGGGCTTAATCAGATACTAAGGCGTTCTGCATCGAAGCGCTTAGAGGCATAAGCCTCAAGATAAATAATAGAATAATTAAAAGTCTATAAAAATAAAAAAGCTTATAATATACCATAAACCTTTTTTAAAAACATCCATAATAAACGAATCAACAAATTAAAATTCTAACTTTTGTTTTAAAGGAAATAGAAAATAAAAGAACCAATAAAAAAATTTATTGGTTGGCACCAAACGCAGGTTTAGTTTATAAAGAAATAAATTAAAATACTAGGATGAATAATTAAATGTTCGAAAATGCAATGCAAATGGGTGAACACCTTAGTTGGCTCGAGGCGTCAGCCTCACTAAGCCAAGGCCTATGTCTAACTAAATCAATGCCCAATCTTCACAAATAGCATTGAAGATTTGGGTTTCGAGGCATTTTACAATAGCCTTGCACAAGGGGAGACGCCTCAAATAGTTTTGTTTAAATCATGGGTGGATCTTAAGGATTTGTTAAATTCTATTTTAGATATAAATTATAAACTATACTACAAGGATTTGGATTTTAGAAGTGAGAGAACCTATGAAGAGGGATGCATATGAGAAAAACAAATAGATGAATGGAATTCCTGAAGTTTGGAAATATTTGGACGAGATTATGTTTGGAAAAAAGAATTATTCAATAAGATCTTGAAGAGCTAAAAAAATGCCACGAGTGTGAGATCTAGTTACTATACATGTGGAGAAATTTCCATTACTATAGGTTGCATTAAAATTTTACCTTGAGTTTTTACCTTTTTACTTTCATGGATGAGCTTCCGAGATATATCGAAGAGAGGCCCTTTAGCGTAAAATATTCACTGATCACATAGTTTTAGTTGGTGAATCTGTACGGGGGGATAATTTCAGGCTAAGAACTACAACTGAATACGTAAACTGATCTTTTAGTCATTGTATCTACAAGGATGATAGATTAGTAGATCACTAGAGATACTATAGCGTGCTATATTTTCCCAAAAAAATTATTCTTCTATCTATTTAGGCACAAAGATTAGTAACTAAGACTTGAAACTAATGTAGTGCATAGAATCAAATAGTAATGTGTTACAAGATTCATGTGATTAAATTATAAAGCTAACAGACAAGTTGTACAAAGTGATTATTAAACACGGTACTAAGTATTGGCTATTAAATGATAAAGTATCTATGATATAAATGTAACGAAGATCTTATTGTGACTATACGTCCACAACTAGAGGTGTCACCGATTTTGGATAAATTAAGAGAATGACAACTTAGTTGATTAGAAGATCTCTTGCGGTAAACCTTAATAGCTCCCATTCATAAGAGTTGTGTGATGCCATCGAATATGTTATAAACGAAATATGTAGATAGTCTAATTTGATTGCAAAATATTTGATTTAATTATGTAGCGATGTATTGAACGAAGGATACATATAGCTAATTCTAAATTTCACGGTGTTAAGAAATCCATGAATCGTTGTTTCTGAAAATATTTTCACTTATTTTCTCGTACAATTCAAAAACCTTTCTCAAGTCTGGAGTCTCGTAGATGTGATATTTATCTTTGCTTGAACTCACTTCTTATCATCAAATCGATAGCTATGATTTTTGTAGCGTTACAGTATGGAGATTGATATTTCTTCAATTTCAGTTTTGTGTCGCATTTCATGTACTTTTAATGGATGTTAACATATTCTTTTTATTACTTTTAGGTGTCAGCCATGGACGATTACTCTCACTGGAATGTTAATAATTACCTCTAGCTGGCTTATTCTGCACTCTGTTTTAGTTACTTCAGTAGTTCTCGCATTAATCTGTTCGTGGTGGTATATCTTTCTTTACTCTTACCCAAAGGTACGATCACCCTCGACCTTGTCCATCTCTTATATGTTCGTGATTTTTATTTCTTTGTAGTACACTAAAATATCTCTAAACTACAGTTTACTCAACAATGCCAAACAACAACAAAGTGTTACTATCAATAAATATGAGGTTGACCGTGTGAATCCTTTTTTGCTATTTTGTTCAGTTTGTTACATCTATGTCTACTGAAATACTCAATGCAAGTAGATTGTTTTTGAAGCAGATTAAGTTTTGCCCCACAAGAAAAACGTAATGATTTGCACTTGACTTGTCTCACTACCATTATAGAACTATCCTCGTTGGAGTCTCTTAACTTGCCTCAAAAAATCATTTTTCTATAGGTCAATGTATGTTTTGAATGGATGTTGTAAACGGATTTTGGTTTACCTCTCTCGAACATGTTCTGTTGAGATCGCACCACTCTTGTGCACAAGACTTGAACATTCCATTATTTGGGTGGGAGCTTCCTTGTAATGGCCCCTTTTAACTTCTTTTTTCATCAGGATTTGGAAATTATACAAAATTTCGGTCTACCCCTCTCAACGCCATGAGTCACATCTATGCACATAGGCAGTAACATCCGTCTATTGCAAAATGTAGAATAGAATGAGAAATGCATGTTCATTTGTAAGGTATATAATTTTATTCACGTTCCTTTCTCAGGCATATACAGAGATGATTGCTGAGCGAAGAAAGAATGTGACAAGTGGCCTCGAAGACACGTATGGTATGAGAAAGCAATAATTTTCCAGGGAAGACTTTGTTTGGGAATAGGAAATCAAAATAGATGAATGCTACAAGCTTGTAAAACTTTGTGAGTTGATAATGATATTGATTGCAGTTCTATCTCGTGATCTTATTTTAACATTGACCAATTTTGAGTACGTGTGATAGCATCGAAGTAGATTCTTTGATTTGTGGCTCAAAGAAATTGACTCCAAATTTATCGTGCCTCATCACTGACCAAAATTCAGCTGTACTCTGTATTTAATCTCATGATAGTGTTGAATGCGCAAGTGTGCGCACACAAGCACACGCATTTCATCATGCAGACATTCGCACAACATTATACTTGAAGTAAAGTTATTCTTTTGTTGTTGTAACATATCGATCTTCTATTGCCTCCTATTCACTGCCCTACAAAATAATGTTGCCAGGGAAGAATGTATCGTTTCTCATAAACATGACCATGCTATCACACAACGCAACCACAATATAAGTATCAGATTCTCTTGCGATATAATTTGATGCTCATATCCTTCTCTTATCACCGAATGGAATCCACCATTCTATGCCATAAATATTATGATAAGATCCAGAAATTTTTCATATCTTTTGGGCTTCATTTCTGTATGTAAATAGAATTTCATATTGGATCTCAAAGATAAATATAGAATTCTGCGGAAAGCCATATTCGATGAAAGTCGATGTATGGCTTAAAGGGAGATCTGAACTGGACGATTCTATTTGGTCAAATACCTAGCGACAAACTCCTATGTTCCTTTCATTACTTTATTTTTGAACAAGTTCCAGGATAAGAAGGATGCACCAACATTCATAACATTTCGAAAGTATATATTGAAATGTTTAGAAAAACAAAGAGCATTCATCTAGAGAAGCCTCAAATATATAACATTATAACAAAGATTAGTATCATGAACCCTTGAGAGAATTTTCTGACCCATAAAAATTTAAGGAAGAAACTAACCAATCTTCACGTCTGAAAAGCATTAGTGTTGAACCCAGACCCTCACACTTCTGTCATTATCAAGAGCTGCAGAAACAATCATGTTCTCTGTGGGATGGCATGTAACTGATACCACAGTATCAGTATGTCCTTCAAGTTTCTGAACCAAATTTTTACCCTGTAAATTCCACAGGTATATGCAGTGATCCTCCGATCCACTGACAATATACTTCTCACCCGTCACAGAGAATGTTGATGTTACGCAATATACTCTGTTCTTGTGACCTGAATATATCTTCAAGAACTTTCCAGTTGAGTAGTTCCAAAGCTTCTGTAATCAACCAACACCACAACAAAAAAGTTTAGATGGCAAAACCAGAACTTGAAAATAATATAACTCTGCTAAGTTGCACTAAATAGCAAAAACATTTATAAATTGAGGTTAGCTTTCAGTGAAATTATTTGGAAACACAACCGGTGATGAATCATGAAAGGAATTATTGTTTCATACAAATTTCACCATAATTAATGATTGCTAACCCACAAAATCCATCTAGAAAGGAACCAAAAAATGCTAAACCTAACGTTTTCTGCGTGATTAATTTCTTCAGTGCCATTACTGGCCATCAACACCTTTTCCCCTAATTTTCCGTATAATGTTAACATCTCAGTTTCAAAAACATACTCGAATTGGACAACAACTTTCTTCAAAACAAAAGTCTGACAGAAAATCTCAAAACTTACAAGAGTATCGTCCAGGGTAGCAACAAGAATGAACTTCCCATTCGGTGAGAACTTGGCAAAAGACACGGCCGGGACTTTATCATCAATGAGTGTCTTCAAAAGGCCGCCGGTGGAGGCATCCCAAATTTTGCACGAACCATCGTGACTCCCGGAGACAATCAATGATCCATCCCGATTGAAATGGACAGATGTAACTGGCATCGAATGTGCCCGGATGACGTGCAAAGCTTTACCCGTTTTCACTTCCCAAATCCGAACTGTATCATCAAAAGACCCTGAAACAATCAAATTAGATTGGGGATTGAAGTTCACGCAGAAGACGAAATCATTATGGCCCTTGAGGGTTTTGACACACTCCGCGGAGCGTGCATCCCAGATTCGGAGGGTCCGATCGTCCGAAGCAGAGCAGATGTAAGTCGAGTCAGAGGACCACGCCAGGTCCGAGACTCCATCAGAATGCCCAGTCAAACTGAATAATTTGGTTAAGGTTTCCGAGGACCAGACGATGAGGGTTTTGTCGAGAGACGCCGAGGCGAATAGCTTGCCATTTTTCGAAAACTTCACGCAGGAGACGGCACGTGTGTGGTTTGTGAGGATTTTCTTCAGGCGATACGGACGGTACGGCGGCGTCGGGTTGCTGTTATTGCTGCTGTTCGCCATAGTCTTCGAAAATAGATTCAGAATTCTGACGGCTATTGCCCAACAAACTATAAAGAAGGAATATGAAGTTATGGAGTTAATTGTTTGAATAATCACCCAACTTATATAATCGTCACGATTTACTTACTAAACTTTAAATTGATTTACAGTACTCACTAAATTTTCTCCATTTGCACTTCATTCATCACTCTAAAAGATTTGTTACCTTATTCGATGATGTGGCTAACGAAAATTTGGCGAGGCAAGTTATGATTGTTAAAAAAATTACAACTCAACCAAATCATTGTTTCATTACTCATCCACTTTACACTTGATCACAATTTACTCATCGAACTTCAAAATACATCCCAATAGTCACTCATCTTTGAGATGTTGCACTATATTCATCATTTGCCATATTTCGTTCCCTTCGTTACTAATGTGCACACAAAAATTCTACGTGGTAAGTTACAAATATTAAAAAGATTGCAACTCAACAAAACTATCAACTCACCAAAATCATCATATGTGAAACGTGATTTTCACGACCTCATAAACTTCTTTAAAATCCAATAAAGCATTACTAATGATTCTTTTAGAAATATCATTTTTCTAATTCAAACGTTTACTGTGCAAAAAATTGGTTTCAATCTGAAGTTGAAAATTTGAAGCATAACTTGTTTTGCTAAAAATTGATTTTTGAAAACACTTTGTTTATGTTTCACCCATTTGATTTCAAATTGTGTCTAATTGATCACATGCGACCTTCAATCATCGTTTTATATTTCGAACCACCTATTGGATATTTGAACTTTGATCCTCGAACTTTAGATTTCTTGCAATTTCACCCTTTTCTCGTTCATTGTCTCCAATTTTGTCAATTTCATCGATATTTACCTAACAAACACAATATACGTAGAATTTAGCCATAATTTATTAAAATTTACAACAAATACTCTAATTTAAAAGCTTAAACAAGTGTACCAAATGTACTTATCACTAGAGTTTTTAAAATTGAAATTGGGGATGCTTTATTGGATTTTAAAGAAGTGTGGAAGTAGAGTTTCACATATGGTAATTTTTATGAGTTGATGGTTTGGCTAAATTGTAATTTTTTTGATGATTGTAACTTACCTGTGAAATTTTCGTACAATAAATTAGCAACGAAGTGAGAAAAAAAAAAAACATGACGGATGATGAATGAAGTGCAACATCACAAAGATGAGTGATCTTTCGAAAGTATTTTGAAGTTCGATGAGTTAATTGTGACCAATTGTACGTTGGATGAGTAATAAAATAAGGGTTTGACTGAGTTGTAATTTTTTAACGACCGTAACTTGCCACAGTAGATTTTCGTTAGCCACGTCAGCAAATATGGTAACGAATTTTTAAGGGTGATGGATTGAGTGCATACGAACAAAGCTCCGTGAGCAATGTGAAGTACTTTGAAGTTTAATGAGTAAACTGTGACCATAATATAAGTTGAGTGATTATTGAACCCATTAACTCGAAGTTATCTAGGAATACTCATTTACATATCAATATATTATAAAATTTAATTGAATTTATAATTTAACATCGCAAAAACTGTGTCGTTAATACTAACATTATTTCATATACTATATATTTGATTGGTTATGGTCTTAGATTGGGAAATTTAGTGGTAATTAGAGCTTTAATGTTTTATTTTCCAAGGGGAAAATTGGGGGAGGATGATGGAGTTTACTTGGAGATTTGGAAAAATTTGAACCCTTTTTTTAAAATGCATGAGGTCGGGATTAATATCTCGATCTGTTTCATCGAAAGATCAAAGTAGGATCATGTTAACAGTTTTAGAATATTTGAGAGAAGAATGACAAAATATTTCGCTCAATTCTATTGGATGAATGAGGGTAGGAACATGGAATATCATCCTCAGAAAAAAATGTGTTGATTGTACTTTAAAGCTACTTATTTTATCTTATACTCGTGTTGTCTCCTCTCACCCATTAGTGACGACTTAAATGATCTAAAACGTGCAAAAGATGGTGGGGGACTTTTCCCAAGCAGCCACTCTTGTGTGAGAGATCCCTTTTGGGATTCGATCTTCGTCTCTGAAGATCCCACTCTTCCATTCATAGTGGATGATTCGTCCATGTAGGGACTTATTTTGACGTTCAGTTTTGTCATGGGAGACTTGTGATGTACACTTCGGAGGACCAATGAGGTAATCCTTTTTAAGATCTAATCTTCGTCTCCGAAGTACCCATGCTTCCATACATGGTGGATGATTCATCCATGTAGGGGCTTTTCTCCCATGACATTCAGCTTCATCATGAGAGGCTTGTGTTGTACATCTCAGAGGACCAATGAAGTATTCCCTTTTGAGATTCAATTCTCGTCTTCGAGGCGTTAACGCTTCTGTACATGGTGGATGGTTCATCCATTATTCCCGAAGAGAGTGTTGTAAGTGTTTCGTCACCGGAAGCTTGTGCTTTAAATGTATTAAGACAAAACGTACTTTTATTGGATCATTTCAAAATATTTACAAGGATTGGGAAAGTTCCTCCAACCGTAAAGCTCATTCACTGGTAGTATATTCTAAGATATTCTATGTTCCGTAGGCGAGGTTGTATTTTCCCATCTAGGTCTTCAATCCAATAAGTGCTTGTTCGTAGCTCTTCTTTAATGTGATACAGTCCTTCTTAGATTGGACCCAACGTGCCTTATCCTTGGTTCCTTGGAAGATAGAAAAACTCTCCGAGGCACTAGATTGTTTATCCGGAAGGACCTTTTCTTAAATCTTACATTGTAGTAACGGGTCATCTTCTTTTGATTTGCGGCTAGTTTCACTTAGGATTCATCCACCCTTCATCGAGGAAATCAAGCTCGCATATTCTCAACTCGTCGTTGGATATTTCATGAAATTGCAATTGATGGGGAAAAGTTAACCCCGTCTTCCACTAGACTTATTGGTTCTACACTGTAAGCTATTGAGAATGGAATTTTTCCGGTTGGGGTCCGGTTTGTAGTCCGTATTGCCCATAATACTTATGGTAGTTAATTGACCCATGCTCCCTTGGAGGTGTCAAGTTTTCTTTTTAAAGTATACTTAATGATTTTGTTTACGGCCTTTACTTGTACATTTGATTGAGGATTGTGAGGTGTCGAAAATGCTTCTTGATTCCAAACCCCTCATCAAACTGACGCCCATTATCTAAGACAATTGAATGAGGAATTCCGAATCGGCATATTATATTCTTCCACAGGAACTTGAAAGTGTTGACTTCCGTGATTTTGACCAAAGGTTCGGCTTCAATTCATTTCGTAAAGTAATCGATGGGACGATAACAAAGCTTGCACTACCTTTGCCCTTAGGTAAACGACCTATAAGGTTGATCCCACATTTGACAAAACGGCCATGGGCTAGATACCATTGTTAGTTTTTGGAAGAATTGTCTCTGCATAGGAGAGAAACGTTGATATTTATCATACTTTCGCACAAATTGGATCTCATTTTTTTTCAAAGTAGGTCAATAATACCTTTATCATAGTGCTTTTTGTGCTAACGCGAGTCCTCCAACGTAATGAAAAACCTCTCTTATAGAGCACATCATCTAGGGATACAAAGTGAGCTGCACTTCTCCTAAGTTTGTAAGCTTCTTCTTTGTTGCCGAAGAGGGTTTGATCTTTAAAGAAGGCTACTATAAGTTGCATCCATATAGGCGTTTCTTTTACCTACATTACCTCTTTTCCTTTAGCAGTGGAAGGTTCTGAGAGGTGTTCGATCGGCACATCGTTAGTAGTTTCGAGTCCTTGGTATTAACCGCTTGGCCAAGGCATCTATGTGGGCATTTTCAACACGCGGGTTTGAGCTAACTCGAACTTTTCAAAAGATGGGAGTAGATCAATCATCAGTTTGAGATATACAGCCATGCTCTTGTCTTATGCTGTGAAGTTACCATTAACCTGACTAATTATCAGCTGGGAATCACTGTTAATGATAAATTCTTCACTTGCATTTCTTTAGTCAACCTTAAGCCGGCCAGTAATGCCTCATATTCAATCGCGTTGTTTGTAGCCTTGAACTTGAACCTCATTGAGCAGTTGAGCTTGTGTCCCTTGGGACTAATCGGACCACACCAATAATGGAGCCTATTCCCCAAATGAACTATCCACAAACAAGTTCCACCTGAGAGGTTCTTCGCGCTCCATTATTTCGTCCATCTTCAGGATGTTTGGCAAATTTCGCAACGAAATTTGAGAGGGTCTGGCCTTTAATGGACATTCTTATTTTGAAAACAACATCGAAATCGCTGAGCTCAACTTCCTATTTCAACAATATTTCCAAAGAGTCGGGTTTTTGATGCACTTGCTTGAACGGGAAGTTGGTTAGCACAAGTATTGTGTGAGTTTGGAAATATGGCCTCAATCTCCTATATGCAGTGATCAAGGCTAGAGCTAATTTTTTCATATCAAGATAGCGGGTTTCGGTCGCTAATTGTACCTTACTCGCATAATAGATAAACAATTGTAGGGTATCTTCTTCTCGTACGAGAACTGCGCTAATGGTTCATTAGAGACGGCCAAATAGAGTTTCAAAGCCTCTCCAAACTTGGGTTTTGAGAGGAGGAGGCCTGTCCTAAGAGTTTTTTCAGTCCCTGGAAGGCCTTTTCACACTCTTTCGTCCATTGGAATTTCTTACTCTTTTTAAGATCTTAAAGAAAGTAAGGCATTTATCGGTGGCCTTCAAGATAAAACAACTTAAAGCTGCTACACGCCTAGTTAAGCTTTGCACCTCCTTTGGTTTTTGAGGAGATCTTATCCCGATCGAGGCTTGAATTTTTTCTGGATTAACCTCTATGGCCCTTTGGTTGACCATGTATTCTAAAAATTTGTCGAAGGCAACATCGAACGCATAGTTGAGGGGGTTCAACCTCATTTTGTACGTTCGTAGAATTTGGAAAGTTTTATCTAGTTGCCTTACATGGTCATCTGACTTTAAGCTTTTCACAAGCATATCATCGACGTAGACCTGTATT